CCCCAAAACCCCAAAACCCCAAAACCCCATAAAATTGCCGTGTATTGAGATTCTGTATAAATAGAATTTAATAGTAGTAATATGTATTGGCAAAACTTAACAAAGCTCATTAAACCCATATTTTGACATGCTCCAATCCGTTGTCATTCAGAATCGTCTCAGCATCTCAATTTTCAATTCCTCAAGATGTAATGAATATTTCGTTTAGACTGAGTTTCAAATCAGGAGAAGAGGCTAATGCTTTAATAAATATTGTAAATTCATCAAGATAATTGTCTCAGTCTGAATTCTTAGAGATTACAGAATATGCCAAATCAATCAAATGTATTTGTGTGTCTGCCAATAGCTCACCGAAGAAAAATGCAACAGGAAACGATAGATCACAAAAGCGTAGGCCTATTTTATGGACATGAGCATAAGAAACCATAAGTCTCTTGAATTGGGATGTATTGAATCTAAACCCATTTAGGTAAATCTTCTCCAGCACTTTTGAATTGAGTCTCATAATTTCATTGAAATAAGGAGTTATTTTTAAAGTAAATCCCTGATCAGAGACTAAAGTAAGTTCATTGACTTTCTGAGGAAATGAGAAGCTTAGGAAATAAGCTAAGTATTTAGTTTGCATCCTTATATTTTTTATATGGATCATATTTCCATTTGAGAATTGGCTAAAAGATATCTTCTGAATATATTTTATGTCTTTTTGAGCCTCTAATGATAAATTCAGGCTTAAATTATTTTCTCTGGGATCATAAAAGATCACTTCTTTATCCCAGTCGTTTCCAAATCAATTAAAATAATGATTCATGGCAAACTTTTGTATGATGCTCTTACTTTTCTTCAAAATGGATTTCTCTGAGCTATGTCAATAAATTTACTTCAAATGATTATCTCAGCAAGGAGGTTTTATTCCTTACAGGTTTCATCAGAATTTATTAGAATTAGTTGGCCATGATAATTTTAAGCAAATTTAATCTAAGGAAGCAGCTGGTAAGTTATGAGATGTTTTCATTATATTTACAAGTCTTGTTACTAATAATGCATCCACTCGAAGATAGTGTTAATTATTATCTAAAGTTTACTAGGAGAAAATCGTTTACAATATAATGGCAAATGTGCTCTAGATTTTTCAATGATATTAAACACTTTTGATATATTCATGAGTTTCTTTCACAGTAAAAACTCGATTATTTTAATAAAATACCTCCAAATTCCGTTTAAAATCGGGAAAGATAGGAAAGTTGGAAGTTCAGATTTTAAGTATCAGTCAAAACAAGTCTTCAATGGTTAGTATTACTGTGATTGATTGAAGTCATAGGGGCATGGGACATTATCAAAGGATATATTATTAGGTACATTCTGTTCACACGGAGAACGAAGTTGTTTAAACTTACTCTAAAGCTTGAGTCTTGTCACATTGCATGGGCTGAGTTAACTTCTCCATAATAAATTTTTAACTATTTCATTTTTATTTTTTAAATATGGGGTTTTGGGGTTTTGGGGTTTTGGGG